ACAGATAGGGACGTCCTTCAGAAACTAGCCGTAGAAAGGAGTCCTAGGCCATGGGTTCTTCTTAAAGTCAAGAGAGATTTCCAAATCGAGTATGTAGCTTGAATGGCATATATGCAGCAGGAGGGATTTGAAAATTTTATGTCATACAAAAAGCTTGAAACGATGCAACTGAGGTGGCAAGGATTTCCCGTCTAATCTGGGCTCAACCTAGCGCGTGATATTACAAGGAACCCCAAGAGGTTTAACGGCCATCCTTAGTTTGATCATTTCAAACAAAGGAAATCGGTACCACACTTACCCATAACAGAGAGGTTATATCGACTGAGGAAGGCACAGCGGACGCTTTCATCAGATAGTTTCAAAGTGTCCATCGTTCAGCCAAGGGGGCATCTGAGCCTCATTTTAACACCATGGTCGTGGCCATGGTGGATCAGGACATTAGGCTCCACGCTGTTGAGCGAGCACAATCACAACTAAACAACACAAAGTTCGCGGGAATGGACTATCTCCACCCGGTTATCCTAAAACTTCTGGCCAAATTTCTAGCGTCGGCTATTGCCCAACCGTTCGGTCTCATTAGAAGCAGGGATAGTTTTGAGGGACCGGAAGGAAGCCAATATAGTCCTCATCTTCAAAGTTGGTAATCGGTCGGAGGTCGAAAATTATAGAACAGTAAGCCTGACTAGTGTCGTCAGCAAAATCGTTGAACACCAAATACCCGAGAGAACCTGTCGATTTCTCTGCAAACAGGAATTTTCTGAAGCGCCTTAACATGGTTTTACAAAAGATACATCTTGTCTCATCAATATGCTGATGCTCTTAGACGCTCACGGAAATGCTGGATAGAGGGGAAGTGGTGTAGGTATGCTACCTAGATTTTCAGAAAGCCTTTTACTCAAACAACCATAGGCTTTGGGGCTGAAAGTTCCGAGAATCCGGAATATCCCCTAGAATCCGTAGGTGGATCTCTACGTTCCTAGTTGGAAGGTCATGCAGAGTGAGGGTGAGAGGGGTGCTGTTGGGCAAGGATTCTCTTCTGAGTGGAATACATCAGGGGTCATTCCTCGCCTCCTGCTCTTCTTGGTAAATGTAAATGACTTGACCGACAAACTGGTCAGCCCATGTTGGCTGTATGCAAATGACACAAAATTGGTGAGAAATGCGTCGGACTCGGACGCCCTCCAGGAGGATATTCTGAAGATCCGCGAGTGGGCAGTAAAGCGGGATTGACCACCGAATGTTCTCAAAAGCCATATCCCTGCTAGTGCTTCCCAGTCGACCCCCAGGAATATAAGGGATGCACATGAACTGATAGTCGAACTATCAACTAAACGGCAAGCGAGACACTTAGGTTTCCAAGTCACTAGCAGGTTTGCTTCATCTGCACAATGTGTTGAAGCCGCGATCAGAGCACGGCGGGAGTTATACCGACTAAAATCCGCGATCGCCAGCTCATGTCCAGCAGTGTTCATAACACTGTGCTCCACCACAGTTCGCCCTCACATAGAATATTGTGCACAAGTTTGGTCACCGTATCTCAAAAATGAGAAAGCTGTCCTCGAACAATTACAGAAGCACTCCACACTTATGTTATGGCGTATGGAGAGTGTATGCAACCGAAACCGACTAACGCCGTTGAACGTATTCTAGCTTGAACGCCAGTGGGTGAGAGCTGACCTTACTGAAGTGTACAAGATTACCAACCACACCGGCACAAATCCCCAGGCAAGCTTGATATGTCAGGGCAGAGGCTTAAGCGGACAAGTTCACGATCAACAAAACAAGATCACCATTAGCTGTTCGATTTGACCCTTTCACTAACCAGGTAGTCTACTCGTGTAGTAAATTGCCGCAAAGATCGTTGAGGCCTCCAGCGTATATGCATTCAATGTGAGCTAGACAAGTGTTGGAGCAACCTTTTCTATACTCTGTATTATTCGAAAGATGACCTGCTTTCGTTTCAAAGAAACCAGGATTTGTCATCCTTTTCATTCTACTCCTACCCTTATACCACTACCGAGCACATCCGCATCGCCAGAAAACGTGTTCTGGTCAATCTCTGGATCACACCCGTCAGGTATCGAGGCGTCAGCAGGCGCCGGCTTCCATCAACTCTTGCATTTGAAATTGACCTTGCCACAACAGAACGGACGGGCATTAACTGGGGTGTATGTTTACAGAACTGTTGCTGTTACTTGTGAGAAGCCACATGCACATAAGAACGCTTCAGCTTGCCAAGTGAAAGTGTGCATCCATACCAATCAACCTCCTTGGAGCATCCGAACTCGTTTCACGTTATGCCCGGGACGGATCGTACCCTACGTAACTATCCAGCACAAATTACCCCACGAATGGTTAATTCTTGAATGAAATTACCCTGGAAATTACCCACTATCCCGTCGTGGTTTATTAAGACTGTTAAACGCAACCTACTGAACAAAGGTTGAGTGTGAACAGAATTTACAAAGAATATGCTACATTTTACTTCATCCTTATAGCCTGCTTCCTGATGTGCAATTTGTTTAAGCGGTAGCCCGATTCGGTGATGGCCTGTACACGTCACTTTTAAAACCGTTTAATCGGTTGATGTTAAGCGAGTTGTTCCCC